CCGGCAGCCTCGCCTCTGTCAGTGCGCCCCAGGGTGGCTGTGGCTACAATGTAGCTTGCCATCACCAGTGTATGAACGTGTGTGTGAATGGGTGGAGGACAGGTTGTGTAAACCGCTTTAGGGTCCTTAGGGACTAAAAAAACGCTATACAAATACAGGCCATTTACCATTCACGGAAATCTACTTGATTGAAATAAAAAGGTTTAATAATGTATGTTTAATACTGTATAATGTAAATAAAATGTATATATATTTGCATTTATTTGTATATTTTGTAAACATTTATTTACAAAATACACACTGGAGTAATTTTGCAAAATAATTTTGATTTCTACATTATTTTGCAGTAATAAGAGTCCTTATTTGTTTTGAATCAGTTCCCTTTTACAAGCAGTGGATATGACATTTAGGAGTTTTATTATGTTAAAAAAAAACAAAAAAACAGATGTAGTTATGAAAAACAAATTAGGCCAAAGATACTTTGACACGGAGACTACAGGAGGTGGAGATTAAACCTGACAGATGACCTGCTCTACCTCCTGAACCACAGCCGCCCCTAAAGCTTGCAGTTTCCAAGAAATCTCCCATCTGCGTACTAACCAGGCCGCGACCCTGCTTAGCTTCCAAGTTCAGACGAGATCGGGCATGCACAGAACAGTCATCTTGTTCCTTGTTTATCATTTTACTGCTCAATAAGAATTCAGTAAATCTAAATTCTTGTTTATTTGTCACATTTTATTTTCTAAAGTTAGCAGAGCAAGGCAGCAAGGCAAGCCTGATCTTGTCATACACATAAAAAAAATAATATCCAGTTTCTTCACTCACATTGTGGATTACAGCTTATTGGCATTTTGCTGGTAACGGATTAGTACTCCATATTGGTATCGATACTGTATAGGAAATGAAAAGAAATGGTTGATTGTTATTGGTTTTCAGATTATCTCACACCAGAAATGGGAGCGTCGCCCAATCTGAAAAAAAGGTAATGTTTATACACCATTAGTTTTGAGGTATTTACAGGTGGGAAATAGTATCAGTCCATCCACCTGATACCAGACATCATGTGGTTTCTCTCCATTTCAGTCACTAAATTACTTTTGCATGTGCCTGAGAATACACAGCAATGTCAAAATACTGGTTCTACCAGGTTTCAGAGGTAGAGTGGTGCGAAGGAAGAAAAAAACCCAACATGCTCCCACATTTGTCATTCAGCAGACTGAAGATGCTGAAGCAAAACATGTTTAAAACATGTATAAAAATCCCTGTGGCAAAGCACAGACTGAAAACACATCAGCACGACACAGTCATTAATCGGAAGCAGGCTGTGGTGATCACTAGACCGACTTGCAGGTTTTTTCCCCTAACTGAGAAACAATTGTTTCATGACGCAATGCCAGATAAATCAGTGAAACCGCTGAAGCGGAACAACTCAAAGGTTTGGGAAATTTGTGTGATTTTTAATATTTTCCTGGTACAAGAAAAAAAGTACATAACCCACAAGAATAGTGAAATAATGACACAACAAAAATGGTCTGGTCACATTGTCATTTGTAATCTCTAGTATTGGTCGAGAATTTTACAATTAAGATATCCCTAAAAGTCCAAAACGAAGTTTTTAAATTACTTTACTTTATGCCTGTTTCATCAGAACTCAATGTTCAATACCATGCACTAAAGAAAAGCAGCAAATCCTTACATGAGAACAATCAGAACCTGCTGATTTTTGCTGTTCAGGCTTGATAAATGACTAACCACAGAGCGTTGTTACAGTGATCTGACAGCCGGGAGCTCTGACCCCTTGTCATAATGCAAATCACCAAATCAAACTCACCCACATGAAAAGCCTTTCAAACACCCGGTTTTTCATGCCTAACATCTGTTATAGACCGCTGACAGCTCAAAGGTGCTCATTAGCTTTGGTAAATCACCCTAAAATCGGTTTTCAATTAATTTTTGTGTGGGTTGAATCCCCTGTAGTTGTGTGATAATGTCTCTATTTACGGCTAACGTTAGCCTGAAAGCTAACACTTGTTTACAACACGACACCTTTAAAGGTAAAAACAAACTACAATACCACGCTGTTGAAGCCTATTAATGACTGCTCGTATTCTGAATGGTGATGTGAAAAGGACACAGAGGTTACTCTGAGGTTTCAGTAGATATCCGTGCGAGCTTGTACCGGGAGAGAAGCCGTTGGTCCCGTCGTGCTGATCGGGCAGCAGCGGTGACCGTTCCCCGTCTGCCATCGCTCCCTCCGGACCCAAGCCTTTCTTCCAACAACGCCCCGCGGGAAGTGTATCTGCGGCGGCTGGGAGACTCCTCGGACCTCCGGTAAAGATTTGTTTGGAGGAGTCGGTGTGAGGCTTTCAACTCCTGACCCTGCTAGAGGTTTGGGTTACTGACAGCCACATGACGCGGCGAAAACACTCACTAAACGCGGAAACGATACAACAAAAACATCTGTCACATGATTCAAGGAGTCAGGAAGTGACGGGCTAGACCAATGAACGAGCAGTGTTTGAATGGGCGGGTCCTTCTGCTTTTGTTGACTAACAACAATTATAAACTGTAAGGCGATGATTGCATTACAATTACTGCTGGTATATGTGCACATAATAGAATAGGTTAGACTTTGTCATTATAAAAATGCAATGACATTTAGTCTGGCATCTCTCCTCTGCCCTATCAGAAAACAACAACAAATAATAATAATAATAATAATAATAATAATAATAATAATAAACAGCCAAGTTTGTGTCTCTTCTCACAGTTCAAAGACATGTATGGCATGTTGGTTAAAGCTAACTCTCTATGACTGCGGTTAGCATGGCAGCCTGTCCAGGGTGTATCCCACCTTTTAGAGCTGGCAGGTTCCAGCCCATAGTGGAAGAGGGACGGTTGGATTTATGAGATTATTTATTGTCAAAGGAGCTTGCAAAGAAAAGCGTCTGGACTTCTTTAAGTTGCTTGAAGACGTTTCACCTCTCATCCGAGAAGCTTCTTCAGTTCTAAGGTCAAATGGTGGAGAGTCCCAGATATAAACCTAGTGGGAGTGACCCCCCACAGAGGGACAAAAGGACCCCCTGATGATCCTCTAATCGCCTGAGCCCAGGTGTGAAACTGGGCGTGGGTCCCAATCAGCCAGAGTTTCGGGTGTGTTCATTGTGAAACCTGGCCCCACCTTATCATGCGAATTCCTGAGGTCAGATGGCCCAGGATGTGAGTGGGCGTTAAGGCGTCTGGGAAGGGATCTCAAAACTGGATTATAGATGGCAGAGAGTTGGCGTCGTAACCCCCCGCCTCTGTTCAAAGATAGTCGCTCACAGTGGACATAGATGGCTTTTTTCACTCCTCTTTCAAACCATCTGTCCTCTCTGTCCAAAATGTGAACATTGGCATCCTCGAAGCACTCAAAACGTGCGGCTATCCTAAATGGGCGTTCTTAAAGTCAGCAAAGAGGCACAGAAAAGAAGACCAGACACCAGCGAAGAAGGATAAGAAGGACAGACGCAACAACATTGTCATCCCCTATGTAGCCGGTGTATCAGAGAAACTCAGGAGAGTTTTCTCCAAGCATGACATCCCAGTGTATTTCAGACCCAGCAACACGCTCAGACAGAAACTGGTTCACCCGAAAGACAAAACTCCAAGACACAAACTTAACAATGTGGTGTATGCTGTACAGTGCAGCGAGGAATGCTCAGACCTCTACATTGGAGAGACCAAACAGCCACTTCACAAGCGCATGGCACAACACAGAAGAGCCACCTCCACAAGACAAGACTCAGCAGTCCATCTGCATCTTAAGGATAAAGGACACTCTTTCGAGGATGCCAATGTTCACATTTTGGACAGAGAGGACAGATGGTTTGAAAGAGGAGTGAAAGAAGCCATCTATGTTCACTGTGAGCGACCATCTTTGAACAGAGGCGGTGGTTTACGACGCCAACTCTCTGCCATCTATAATCCAGTTTTGAGATACCTTCCCAGACGCCTTAACGCCCACTCACATCCTGGGCCATCTGACCTCAGGAATTCGCATGATAAGGTGGGGCCAGGTTTCACAATGAACACACCCGAAACTCAGGCGGCTAGAGGATCATCAGGGGGTCCTTTTGTCCCTCTGTGGGGGGTTACTCCCACTAGGTTTATATCTGGGACTCTCCACTATTTGTCCTTAGAACTGAAGAAGCTTCTCGGATGAGAGGTGAAACGTCTTCAAGCAACTTAAAGAAGTCCAGACGCTTTTCTTTGCAAGCTCCTTTTACTACGATGACCTGGATGACTGAGAACCTTCACAGAGATTATTTATTGCATCTTCTGTAATGTGTGCAGTTCTAAAACAGTCAAATACAAGAGTCATGTGGTAAAAGCAATTAATATGTGAGCTTCTCCTTGTACAGCAGGAGCTTTAGACGCAGGGCAAGTTAGATGGTAAATGGGTCGACTGGTGCATACATAGCACCTTTTTTCTATACCCAAGCACCTCATCTAACACTCTCCACCTCAGGCTTCAGTATCTTGCCAAACTGGAGTAAGTGGGGAACCGGTCTACCAACCATACAGGTAGGCAACTCAATTTATCTACTGAGCCGCAGTCACCTCTGTGATCCAAGGGTCACCAGACTGAGCTAAGAGGCAGAAATCATAAATTTGGTCTTTATAAAAGAGTAAATAAAAAAGTGGATGTATACTCAAGAGATTACATCAGAGACTAGATTTTTTTCCTAGTAACTGATTGGGATGAAACAAGAGCTAAAAAGAAGACGTGAAGTGAAAATAAAATGGTTGCATTTGATTGTGTGTTTAATGATATTAAATTCAGATGTAATACAGTATTAATACAATTAAAAGTTAAGATAAATATTTATGGCTACACAAATCCTATATACTATTTTAATAACTACTACAGTATTTAAGAATTCATTCATGTATACAATATCTTTGTGAAAAACATTTAACAATAGAAGGAGCAGAATCGAATAAATGACAGAAATGTCTAAAGCTGAAAAAACAGGAAGTGTTTTATTTTCCCCGAGGTTACACAGGAAATGTGTACAGATATTTCTGTAGTGACTTGCAGGGAGAAAATGTTGCATTTAAACATCACTGATGTGCATAAAGATTTACAGGGTTACCATAACATAGTTAACAGCTTTTACATACAGCAAACCAATCATAAAAAAAAAAAAAAAGTTATACTCTCTCTCACTGAAAGAGGAAAAAAGTATATTAGCTTTGCATAAATCTACACAACATGCTTCTCTCTAACAGCAGCAAAGTACATGAAGCTGAAAACTGACATCCTTTCTGTTTCACATGACTTAAACAAGTGGAGCACACAACTGTAAACGTGCATCCGGTTAGCTAAAGAGTGAAATGTGGGTAATCCTATCTCCCTCTTAAAAATAACCAACATTTAGTAAACAAACGTCACGTTTTTGTTAGAATTACCTGAAACAAGCAGACTTCCTACCAACTTCTATACAACTAAAACCCTTCTGCAACCAGAGGAAAGAAAGCTCTTAGTTTTTTTTCTTATAAGAATATGTTCATGAGTGCTAATTACTCACATGAAAGTTTACTTTTTAAACGTGTCCATGAACTTGAGTCACTCGCCACCAAATCTCAACGACACGTGGTTTTGTTTGCACCTCTCATAAAAAAAGGAAAGAACACAAAAAAAATCTAGTTATATTAATCCTTAACAGAGCCTCGAGAATTTCTCATCGACATTCTCGAAGGCCTCCGTCGAAGACTCTGTTGATGTTTCTGGAAATAAAAGAAAGGGGAAAAAGGTGAGACCACTTGCATGTTTTTGTGCAGTCACTCGATTACAAAGCCTCAATAAGAAAGACCTTTAATCACTCATCTGCCTGCTTTCCTTAGTGTTCAGGCTCCCACTATTTCCTTTACATCACTTCCCCTCTCTCACGCAGTAACTCAATACTAACATCCTGGCTTCCGTCCAATCGCGTCCTTGACCACCTTCTATGAGCCAATCAGCCGCCCCTCTGCCTACTTTAAGTATCTAAATAAACCACATTCAGTTCCTTCAGATGATCTTTCCTTATTGAATTGAGTTTGTGGGTACCTTCAGGTTCTCCTGGTGTTTCTGGCTTCTGCAGTGGAGGTCCTTAGCATTTTGCTCATCCAGGTAGAAAATGGAGCAGAGGTTACAGAAAAGCCCCATCTTTTGGACAACATGCTCATCACCTAAGAAGACCAGAAGCATACAAAATAACTTAAGAGAGAAAAGAAAGACGTTAAATTGACGTCATTATTTTATGTTTTGTTCTCACCAAGGGACGCGTCAGCATCCAAGTTGTCTGTGATGCGAGGAGACTGAGAACAAGATCGCTTTGCTTTGGGTTCAATAAGTGCTCTCCTTCGTTTACGGACAGCTAAAGAAAAGGAAAACGACCAATAAATGATAAATGATGACTGCAAATTAAACTGTACCTATTCCAATAACAAGTTTATATTTTTACTTCTCTAGTTACAGCTGCTCGAATGTCTTGAATTGTAATATGATTAGTAACTTTTGATGGACTAACTTTAACTTCACAAGTTCCAGATTACAAATTGTGGCTGTCTTCTGACAGAGTGTGTTAGGAAAACCACAATATAGACACTGACTTGGATGCAGTTTTGCTCTATTCTAACAAATTCTAAGTGGGAAAACAACCATCATCCACTTTAGTGAATCATATTGAAACATTTTGTTGGTTTATAATCAGCACATTTTGAGGTAAAATAGCTTCTCGTACCTTTAACGTCACTCCTGCTCAGTCCTTCCTGTGTCTGATTATCAAGACACTCAGGCTGTTGCTGTTGCCCAGCAGAGGCAGCATCAACATCGGGCTGGCTCTCTGGTTTCTCCTCTGTTTTTTGGCTGTCTGGTTTGTCGTCACTTGACAGTACAGATACGTTTTTGTCCAGTGACGAGGACTCGAGTGAAGCGGCAGGCAGTGATTCTGTTTCTGCATCTTCTCTCTCGTGTGTTGCGACCCCTTTTTTCCCTCTGACAGATTTTCTCACTGCAGGAAAAGAAAAAGAAATACTTGAGATTTACAATTTAGTCCTCTGACCAGATTATACATTTTTGTGCAAATTCTTAGTGGCAGCAGTCTTCAGGAACAGTTCTCCAGGCTTCTTGATGAACATTCAAAGCTCTTCTTCAGATCTGGATTGCCTTTAGATCAGGGGTGTTAAACGTAAGGCTGAAGGCCCAGAATCTTTTTTTTTTCTCTTAAATAAAACTGTGACTTGTATTATGTGTCTATGGTCTGGGAGAGAGTCCTGTAACTCTTTTATTCATTATTTACCAGCTCCCTCCTGGTCATATATTGCGAAAATATAATATAAATAACATATAAATATAAACAGAGCTTTCAGTCGCTCTGCTCCACGGCTCTGGAACTCTCTTCATCTAGCCATAAGAAATATAGACTCTCCTCCCGTATTTAAGTCACAGCTCAAAACACATCTGTTCAAACTGGCTTATTCGCTTTAGTAGTGATTTTATCTGTTGTCAAGTTCTGTTTTGCAATTTTAACTTATTTTATGTATTTTATGACTATTGCTCATTTTAATTTTGTTCTTTTGTAAGGCGCCCTCAAATAAAATGCAGTATTATTATTATTAATACAAGGTCCAGTTTTTCCAAAAACTACAATAGAAATGTTATCCACGGTACATTTTCTGTGAATTACACATCTATCATGTAGTTTCATGGGTCCAGCCCACTTAACATCAAAGTAAGCTGTATGTGCCCCATGATGAAAAAGGAGTTTGACACCCACGCTTTAGATGATCCCACATTCCATTAAAGCTTGAGTTCTGGTGAAGCCTATCCGTGACTGATAGTGTTCCACCATGAGTTTTTCTACCCAGGTATGATTTTACTGCCGTGTGTCTGTAATCATTGTCATGCTGTCGTGAAGCTGTTTCCAATTTGTTGATTGACAGCACTACATGGCATTAGATTACAACTGGCTCATCACATGACTAAGGTTCCTTTTTTTGTCCTTGAATGATTCATAAGTCAGTGTTATGTGGCTTAACAAACAAACAACAACAAAAACATTCCTCTGAAAATGCTCAGGTATAAAGACTGGACTGAAAATCAGTGAATAAAAGCAGCTGAAGTCAAAAGAAAAACTTTGAAAGACTAGGGAACATTTCTTCAAGATTATTTAACAAAGTAACAAAGTATGAAGAAATGAGAAGTGGCTCAATATTTCTGCACAATTATGTAAACCAGAAAGCTGTGCTTGTGTTACCAGGGATCTGTCTAGTCCTCTTCATGGCTTGGCCACTTGTCCTGGTTCTAATGGCTTTCTTGTCCTTGTCTTCATCTCTTTTCAAGTTCACATTCTCTTCTAATATGAGATACAAAAACAAAGACTCACATTAATGCAAAACAGTTTTCCGTTTTCTTTTTTAGTAAATTTAGGAGTAAACTTTACAAGATTCACACAACAGACTAGTACACAATGCTTTCCATTTAAAAAAAAAAATCTATAGTGATAATAATCTGGCAAACAAAACGCACCAAAATCAAACTGTCTTGGCTAACAAAGCATGTAACGGGTGATAGATTTGTCTTTAACAGTGTGTCTTACCTTTAATTTTAAATTTCTGTAAGGCTGTAAGCAGATGTCAGTTTATTTGCACCTTAAAATAATTAGTAATTTAGCCTTTATGGTTAGAGTTCCATTATACTGGAAACCTTTAGCTGTTAACACAATCCATTTCACCTGGTTTAGGTCTTATCTGCTTTAAGATGTGCTGCTCCTATCAATGAAGGCACCACTGTTTATGCCTGCTTATCATACCTACCATGTACAAACAGTCATGTGAAACGAAGTTTACACGAGACTTTGTGCTGTCCTTTGAAAAACTACGGTAAATGTCCTGCATTTGTATAGCACTTAGTCCCTAAGGACCCCAAAGCGCATTACACTACATTCAGTCATCCACTCATTCACACACACACACTGGTGATGGCCAGCTACATTGTAGCCACAGCTGCCCTGGGGTGCACTGACAGAGGCAAGTCTGCAGAACACTGGCACCACCAGTAGGCAACAGGTGAAGTCTGTCGGAGCCGGGCCTCGAACCCGGCAACCTTACACAATCAAACTGCCAACTCTTGAGCTGCGATCACTCTATGTACAGTCCATGATTCAATCGCTTCTATAACCAGCTTTAGCTAAACTGAAGGAATCATTTTCTGTTTGACTTCATCAGTCTCTCACATCGTTGTGGGAAAAATTTGGCCCACACCTCTGTTGCTTCAGTTTATTGAGGTTGGGGATATACATTTACGCACAGCATTCTTGAGGTCCCAAACCAGCATTCCAATCAGGTTGAGGTCTGGACAGGACTGGGCAATTTCAACACCTTGATTCTTTTCTTTGTCAGACATACAGAGGAGTTCATGGTTGACTCTGGGAATGCAATGTGCCCAAGGTTTATAAAAGAAACCCAAAGGTGTTTAAAGGACATTATTCCACAGGTTTGTATGGCTTCTTCAGATGTAACTTGACCATGCACCAGAGCAGCAAACTAAACTTTAGTAAATCACCTGCTGATGATTAATTAATCAACTGACTCTAATTAGAAACCTGTTGCCTGCTGCTAATTTATGACATTTTTTATGGAAGCAGTAAGAAGACTAACACAAACCTGCATTGTCATCACGTTTGCGTTTATTAGATCTTGAGATTTTCTGAGCCTCCTTTTTGACACCCTTCTCATTCTCATCATGCACTGCTTCATTCACATTTGACAAAGTCTAAAAAGAGAAAACCAAAATGTTTGGCATCAAGATTTATGTTATCAGAACAAAGATTTCTCGAAGAAAGAAAAATGTTTGCAACAGTTTAAATGCTAACATTACCTCTTGGTTTAAGGACTTCACTGACTGGCTATCTGGGTTGAGTCGGCAGACCTCATGTCCCTCCTCCTCTTCTTCACCAATCTCATCCAATGTGACAAACTCCTGCAGCTCATCCTCCGTAATATCCCTATTCCACTCTTCTCCTTCCAAAAAACCTTTGTCTCCACCCTCATCTGCCCCCACCTCATCCAGAGTCACTAGCTCAGATGTGTCATCCAAAAAAGTTTTCTCAATATATTTCCTTGGTCTTTCCAACGTTGTGTTTTCTGAAGTTGCAGGTCGATTATTCCTAACATCATCATCTTCCACAGGGTGTATTTCATAGGTAGAGTCTTCCCTTAAGTCTTTTATCAAGGCATCACTCTTTGTTGTTGGTGTCTTCTTGGTCAGTGGCGTTGTCTCCTCATTTTCTATATTTTTCTCAGGATCCTGTTTCTGGGAATGTACAGCCCATGTGGTTCTCCTTCTTGCTGTAGTCTTGTCTTTTGTTGGGACTTCTTTAGCCGTTCTTTCCTTTCTCCCACTGGTAGATTGTTCTGTAATGGCTGAATTGCTGTTGTCAGTCTCTACCGCTTCTGGCTTTTCAGATTGTTCTGTGTATGTCAGTTTGTCCTTTTTGTATCCTCTAGCAGACCTTCTACTATCAGACCTTTCTGCAGTAAAAGCATCTTGAATTGGTTCATCTTTATCAAAGTTTACTTTCCCATGAATGATCTTTTCAGTGTCCTTGAGAATATTTCTGTCTTTTTCTGTATTGCTTTTCTTTGTTCTTGTCTGATATTTTTTCTCCATCTTGTCCTCTTTTATTGGCAATTTCCCCTCCTCTTCACTTTTAGATGTTCTGGACCTTGATCCACTCCTCCTTGTTGGTCTATCATCTCTTTTAGGTTCATAGGATTTATCTGTTCTTTTTTCCTTGTTGTCTGCCTCCAATTTGGTCTCTGTGGTTGCTGGCTCATCTTCCACAGAATCAATTACCTGGTAAGCTTCTTCCTCTTCTTCTTTAGATACTTGGGTGCCAAGGGTTTCAAATTTTTGGTTATCATCTTCTATTTCAGTCAGATCATCAACTGAATCCAGTATCTCAAATGCTTCAGTAGCATCTGTTGAAGTGTTTTGGATGTCTTGACATTCAATGTACTGTTTTATTTCATTTCGGATTGTGGATTTTATATTGTCTAAAATCTGATAACCTTCCCCATGCAATGTGTGGCTTTGTTTAGGTCCTGAATACTTGGTTTTAGCACAGCCATCTTGATTTCCATCGTCATCCAGCTGTTCTTCCGTTTGATCATCAACTGAATCAATGACTTGGTAAGTTTCACCATCTTCCTCCTCCTCCTCCTCAATACATTTTCCGACATAATTCCCTGCCGCAATGCCCTCTCCTGACACATTGTGGTCAGACTTTGCTGTTGCACACTCTGTGTTTTTTCTCTCTGATTCATTATAATATTGAATCTTTACAGATGCCTCAATATCTGATGTTGATGCCATCTCTGACAAATGGGTCTTGTGGCCTGAGGATACAGTGTGTGGTCTTCTGGCTGGAGATTCTGTCTTGTGTGGCTGTGCTCTGCGAAAAGGCAATGCATGAATTTCGACAGGCAGCGAAGAAGAGAATAAAGGAGTCTTAGTGGCCTGAGCAGATTGCATAGATGTGGTATTGAATTTGGTTGGTTCAGATGAGCCTTTTTGTTTTTTTGGTGAGTCAGTGGTCAAGCCTAAAGACAGGGTGCTTTTCTCTGAAGCTTCAGTGGGCTTGGATTCAGAAGAGAAAGCAGATAAGTTCTTAGACTCTTTCAAGGATCTTGTTGAGATCTTCTTGGCAGAAGATGAAACATCTGAGTTTTGTCTTTTTTCTTTCTTTCTGGAGTTCTGCTCAGATGAGAAGGTGCCTTGGTTGTCATCCACATCCTCAACAATTTCATCAACAGTGACAAAACTCTCAAAATTCTGCTCATCAAAAAGCTGAGCGTCAGAAGAAATAGAATCATCATTATGACTATCAGTTGAATCCAGTATCTCAAAGGTTTGTTGTTCAGTACCCTCTTTTACAGTGTTGTCTCCCTCTTCAAGAGGCTGGTTTTTACCTTCTGCAATTAAGCCAGCATCTTTGGAGGCTTTGGATGATTCCTTCAAAAGCGTTATTTCATCTTTCCCCTTGCTTCCATCTCCCCTGCTCTCTGCTGCATTTTTGTCACAAATGTCCACTACCAGAATCAAATCTTCAGACAGCTGCTTTACTGTAAAACTTTCATTTTTGGCCAAAGGATTGGGCTCTTGAACTGTAGTTATTTGGTCTCTGATATCATTGTCTAGCACTTTGCGAGAAGCATCCAATCCAATTTCACTGCACTCCTTTAAACATGCGTCATCATCATTAACACTGTCCAAGACCTGAAAGCCTCCTTCGTGTAATTCTTGGCCTTGCTCAGGTCCAGGTGTCTGACTTATCTCCGACTCAATAGTTTCCCCAGCAGTGCCTTTTATTGAAACTTTGTGGTTTGAGATCGTTTTGACATTAGAAGACAACCTGCTTTTCAAAGTGGATTTCCTTGTCTTAGATGAGGAAGGTGACAAAGATTTCAAGGATTTTAATGAGGTTTGTTCGGCAGAGGATAACACATCTGTGCTTTGGTCCTCCCCAGAGTCATCGAAAATCTCATCAACAGTGACAAAATTCTCCAAGTTAAAATTTTGCTCATCAAATAGGGTGGTATCTGAAAAGACTTGGTCATCGACGTGATCATTAGCAGAGTCCAGTGCCTCAAAGCCTTCTTCTTCAGTACTATCTGGTGAAGCTTCTTTGATGCTTTGATGTTTAACATTTGTCATTTGGCCAGAGTCTTTGCAGGTTTCTCCTGAAAGCATCTGTTGTTCTTTTTCTTTCCCCCACCTTCCATCGGCCCTGCTCTTTGAAGCTTGATTCTTACTTGTGTCCAGCACTTCGTTTCTCTCAGCAAAATCTTCAGCAACAGATTTATCAGAATTATCTACTTGAATCACATGCTCCTCGGACAGCTGCATCAATGTGGAACCTTCATCTTTAACTGTTTGAGTGGCCTCTTGAACTGTTGCTGTTCGGTCTTCAGTTACACCGTCTAGTGCTTTGAAAGGCGCATCTATTTCCATTTCACTAAACTCCTCAGGACTTTCATCTTCAATACTGTCCAAGACCTTATAGCCACCTCCAAAGAATTTCTGGCCTTGCTCAAAAGCAGATGACTGGCTTGACTTTGACTCAACAATTTTCAAAGCAATGCCATCGGCTGAAAGTTTGTGATCAGATTTTACCACTAAACTCTCTGTTTGTTTTTCTTGTTCTTCATTTGGCTGACAAGTCTCAACTCCACTTAGAGCTGCTTTTGATGCACAGGTCCTAAAACCTGAATACAAAACTTGCAATGCTTTAGCTGGAGATTTTGGGTTACTTGATGCTGCTTTTTCCACAGAGGAGGCAGGAGTTTCCATAGCCATACACAAACTGCTCCTCGCAGTGGCTTTCATTGACTTGGATAAGGAATGTGAGAAAGAAGAATAAGTTGCTGAGCTCTTGGAGTCTTTCGGGGATCTTGTAGAAGTCTGCTTTACAGGAGATGAAACATTTGAACCTTGCCTTTCACTTTTCATTCTAGAGTTCTGTTTAGATGAAGCCGTGCTTGGGTGGTCTAAGGCCATATCTTCCACATCATCAGCAATTTCATCAACAGTGACAAAGTCCTCCAAGTTGAAATTTGGCTCATCAAAAAGGTTGGTGTTTGATGAGGCATGGTCATCAGTATGATCATCAGTTGAATCTAATATCTCAAAGGTTTCATGATCAGTACTATCTGATGAATTGTCTTTCATGTCTCTGTTGTCAGCATCTTTGGACGCTTTGGAGGATTCTTCTGAAAACATTTCTTCCTTTTCTTTTATTCTTCTTCTTCTATCTTCTGTTTGGCCTCTCGGGTTTTGGTTGCTACTTGTAATTGACATTTCAATTTTATCAGCTGCATCTAGAACTGTAGATTTATCAGAATTTTCCATTATCTGAATCTTGTTTTCTTCAACCTCTCTTTTCTCTGCTGAGTCTTCATTTTCAACCAGACGATCATCCTCTTGATTGGTAGCTACTTGGTGTTTAGAAAACCCATGTAATAGTTGGACAGAAGCATCCAATCCAATTTCACTCCATTCCTTTGAACAGGTTTTGACTGCATCTGTATTGCTCTCCATGACTTGACTGTCCAACTTATGCAGTCTATGGCCTTTCTCAGGTCCAGGTGACTGCCTTGACTCTGACTCAACAGAACTTGTTTCTTTGTGCAGCTTATATGTGTCAACCGATGTCTCAGCTTCTGCTGCTGATGCCATCTTTAATGAATGCGCCCTGCAATCTGAGGATGAAGTATGCAGTGCTCTGGCTGGGGACTTTAACTTGCTTGGGTGTGTTTTCCTACAAGTTTCAAAAGACTGAGAAGATGAGGAGGTAGAGGTCTTAAAGACATTAGAAGACAAATTTCCTTTCACTGTGATGTGAGTTGGCACGGGTGAGGAAGAAGAGGAGGCAATGTAAGAGCTCTGCCTTTCTCTTTTCCTTTCAGAGTTCTGCTTATGAGAAGAGCGGCTTTGGTGGCCGAAGGCTGGTTCTCCAGTGTTGTCACCAATTTCATCAACAGTGACAAAGTCCTCTAAACTGAAATTTAGCTCATCAAAAATACGTGTTTCTGAAGAAACATGGTCATCAGTGTTATCGTCAATTGAATCTAATATCTCAAATGTTTCTTGTTTAGCACAATCTGCATCGCATGACATGTCTTTGTTGACTTGTTCTTCAACATTTAGGATTTGGCCCAAATTTTCGGGGGCTTTAAAAGACCTCTGCATTTCTCCTTGTGTTTGTGTGGTTGTTCGAGCTGCCTTGATCCTTGGACTTTGGTTCGTTCTTGAATCTAACACATCCTTATCAGTGGCATCTTCTTGAGAGTCCTCTTTAACTACAGATGCTTGGTCCTCGGTAACACTATCCATCACCTGGTAAGAGTTTCCTTGCTCTTGTACACACCCAGATAAATTGGTTTCAGTGCCATCTTGGCTTCCGTCTTCATTCATCTGTTCATCCAATTGATCCTCAATCGAATCCAGGATTTGGTAATCTTCAAAGTCCTCCTCCTCAGGATACTTGCCAGAATAATAATTTCTGCACTCTTCTTCTGTCCTCTCCTTCGACTCTTTGAGTATGCCATTGTTAAAATCAATTTCTAGATTCGGTTTTTGGCTTGTCAACTCTAACCCCTGACTATGTGTAGCTGAATGTATAGCTAATAATGTTTCTGTTCTATTTGTCTCTGTAGTAATGCCCTCTGCTAACACTTTACCGGACTTCCCTACTGCACTTTCTTTGGGTTTTGCTTCTTCGTCTCTATGAAGCTGATATGTCTCTACTGTCACATCTGCTGCTGCTGCTGTTGATGAAGAAGGCTTACAGCTGAAGGATGGAGAATGTAAGGCTATCTCTGGAGACTCTGGATTTTCTGGCTGTGCTGTTTGGCAAGGGAAGGGAGGAGTTTCAATAGATTGTAGAGAAGAAGAGACAGAGGTCTGGCTGACACTAGGAGATGAGCTGCTCGTCGAGTTGTTCAAGGGCCTTGTTGAGATCTGTTTTGTAGTGGTCGACACAACCAGGCTTTGGTTTTCTATTTCCACTCCGCAGGTCTGCTTAACCAGTTAAAGAGATGAGTTATTTTCCATTACATAACTGAGCTATTAAAAAAAACAAAAACCCCAAACAAAAAAAACAAACTACTAATAAAAGGGACCACAGAAGACTGGCACTAATAAACTCTAAGATATATTATCATATCTAGGGATGGGTATGGTTTAGGTTTTATCCGATACCGGTGCCAAATCGGTACTTTTGAAATGGTGCCGGTGCTTAAACGGTGCTCTAACCGGTGCTTAAAGAATGGAGAACACAAAATTGGTCCAAAAACCTCTCATGTTCAGCTGTTTTTTGTAAAAAGATAACAATGTTAGCCTTTTCTGCAGCTATAGGGAATTTATGGCATCACTCTTGGATGGAAGCAGAGCTTAAACAATGGAAAAAACAAACTTTGTCCAAAAACCTCTCATGTTTAGCTGTTTTCCACTTTTTCTTTGGTCATTTTAGCCTTTTTGGCTAGGGTGAAGGGAGTATCTGCCATCAAACAAGAAGCCAGCAGCATGTAACTGCGACTGTGTTTGCTAGTTCACCTTGCATGCATTAATGTAATAACGTGGTTAGCCTACTCAACGTAAATTACACACGAACAACATTTAGCTACTCACGCAGAGAAGAACGGCTGCTGCTGCCATCATCATCATCCATCATCATTTCTGCTACACTGGCAGGGCTAGGGGCCAGGACTCTCCTCTGTTTTTGGGGGATGTTGCTAACTCCGGGTGGGATGACAGGCACGCAGTAGATGTGCACGGTCTCGCGGCAAGCTATCAAATACGGCGCATTTCTCGGCTTTTAACAAAATGCTATACGTCGCCATGTGTTTCATCAGATTTGAGGAGTTACCTCCTTTGCACAGTATCACCTTAAAGCACTTGTTGCAGGCTGCTGAGTTTACATCTTTTGCTGTGAAGTACAGCCAGACTTTGACCGCTTCGCTTTGGGCATTTTTAATCTGTAGCTCTTCTCTAAAAGAACGTACGTACCTGGGCCACCTACTACGCTCGCAAAGGTAAAATGATTGGAATCCAAAGTGTATGACATCTCAGGAAAAGAAAAAAGCACCGCAATGTGCGCTGCTTTTCGGTCTGGTTACTACCGTTTATGTCAGAACCGGTGCCATTACCGGTACCCATCCCTAATCATATCATAGTTTAGTGGGTTTGATTCTATATACACTGTATGTTTATGCATATATGCAGACCAAATTTGAAGCTAGAAGTAAGGAACTCACCTTTTCTTCCATTTTCTCTTTACCCAAGTCACTTCTAGAGGTTGTTTCTCTCTTGCTGGGGCTCTAAAAAGATAAAGATTGCTTACTAATTTACTTGAACAAATTGGAAATACGTTACCCTCACAAAAATATGGCAGGTCATAGTTAGAACATTTTTGGCACTTTGCAAATACACTTTTTGCCAGATATTACCATTTTATCCACAGTCTGTGTCTTGGTTCCCTGAATCAATATGGGCTTGTCAGCATTAATATAAGGAAGTTCTTTGATCGTTTCCTTAGACTTTGTCAGACTTGTGACTTGAGGAGCAGGGGTAGAAGCAGCTGAAAAAATTCTTCCATCAGCAGAGGTGACTGAAATTACTGGTGACCCTTCTTCCCCTACCCTCCCTTCTGCCTTCTCTACATCCTGACTCACCTGAAGAGCAACCGTGGATGTTATGATCTCAGTTCCTGGTTTATCACTGGTTTCTTCCATTTCTTGGTCACCTGTTGCACTTTGTCCTGCTGTGAGAGACTTAGAAATGTTGGAACTAACTGATACTGCTGGTTGAGCAGAACCAGAGGTACTTGTTTGCTGAAGAGTTTGCGCTCCTTTATCAGAAAGAGAAGACTGTGCTCCACTTATCACAGTCGGGAACTTAACATCTGTGGTGTCCAGTTCAAGATTTACTTTAATCTCACTGGAGTCTTGCAGACGCTGTTTTAGGCTCTTCAAACTAAAATCAAAAGCAGAAAATCTTTGTTAGTTGCCCACAAAAAACAAGTTTGTTTTCACAAAAATGGTTACACATAACATGTTACAAAACAGAGAAAGAAACAAACATCATTTCCAATTTTTTGTTCAGCAGTCATTAGCTTAAGACACATTTACATAAACTGCCTGTTTTGTTTCTCCACATCTTTTAGAGCCAGTTCATTATAAAAATTAGAGGAAAAAAAAAACAAACAAAAAAAAACAAAGCCCCCCCCCACCAAAAAAACAACAGGAAACCATACTTCACCATATGAGACTATTATTTTTTCGTCAAACCAAGAATCCAAAAACCCAAAATGTTTAGTATTAGAACTGTTTTAACTTCTACAGGAGAAGCTGCACCCAGATTCAGGAATTGTCGTATTAGAAAGAGAAATACTCACGTTTCAATGCGTCGAACTTTTTTCCTGTATAGAGGATAAAAAAGGAGAAGGTCTAAGGGTCTATTTTCATAACAAATGTAATTTATTCTAATAATTTATTCATCTCTTCCCCTATTTTAGTGAAAGTCATACCAAATTACATTCGTAGATAAATGTTCATTTGAAGCAATCTTCTCCAAGACCTCTGTTACAAGACTAGATTCTGCCATCTCAATGTAAATCTGAGAATAGAAATAGTCATAAGAAAAGCACAAAGACAAAAAGGAAAACGTTTCTTAAAAAGTGATAATAGACATTAATAATTCTTATTTTTTTAAACTCGTTCATGCTTTAGTTTACCCAAGCAAAGGTGCAGTATGAACTACAATATGACCGAACATGAAACACATACATAGATGGGAACATAGATGCAAAATTTATGCTATATCGATCCTGACTGAAATACAGTGGGATGCAAAAGTTTGGGCAACCTTGTTAATAGTCATTATTTT